GTACCGTACCAAAAATTGAGCGTAGTGTAAACGGGGCTTTAATGGAGGTATACCTCAAGTACCAAATTAGGCCTTATCCCATTTGCGGTACTGGTAAATAGTCTACTTCGTGATTGAAATTTCAGAATGAAATTCGTGGACGATCTAACAACTATCGAATTTATCCCTAGATGTTCACTGAGTGTAACTCCCTTGTTAGTCAATGACATGCGATTATGCTTTTACAAGAGGCATGTGATTAAACTCGAAGAAATGCAAAGAAATGATAATTAATTTTATCCAATACAGATTATCATTCCAAGATGTATTACAGGTTGGTGGGAATACAATTGAAAGTGTATCATCATGCAAGTTACTGGGTGTTTATTTGAATAACGATCTCTCATGGAATTTATACACTGTGGCTATATTTCTAAGAAAGCTAATAAGAGACTATATACTACGTACACTACGGAGAGCAAGGATTGGGTATCAACAACTTGTAACAGTATACTGCAGCTTAGTCAGACCAATCCTCGAATACGCTGTCCCTGTTTGGCCTGCTATTCCGGACTACTTTAAAAGCTAAAGATGAGAGAGTCCAAAAGCGAGCCCTAAAAATAATTTACCCTGGATCGTCATATGAAGAGCCGCTGCAGAAGGCTGGTCTCCAAACGTTGGTTAAAAGACGAGAAGAGATCTGAAAGTTTGCTAGAAACAATAAATCATTTGGTTTGCTAAAAAAACTCTTCAATTACAACCGCGTTGGGATAAATCATGAATATAACTTACGACATCTAAGCGAATCTAATGGCTCTAATTCCATAAATACTGATAGACGTTTAAATTTTATAAGTTGTAAATATTGATATCTTCTAACATGTAAAAATATGCAACTTGATAGATTTTTAAAGAAATAGTTATTCTTGATAATTTATGTATTAACTTGTAACTTTATCATTTGCTGCAATAAGTTTTTTGAATAAACCTATATTATTATTATTGGTTTGACCATATGTTTACAACTTCACACAACTTCATAAAATGTGCTGAATTAAAGTTAATCCAAACTGAATAAGTTTAATGCAAACATCATCAATGTTTACATAAAGAGGATCAAAGTGATAATTATCTCTACTATAGTTTTATATAATATATCCAATTATAGTATTCGAAGAAATAGAAGAATCATTGGGACATTCTCGCCGCCACACCCGAACACTGTAATACATTGACAAATGCCTGAGCTATTATGGCCTTGTCTGGTAAGCGAAAGCGAACCAAACAATTTATCTTGCATTCAGCAAAATTAATTACGGGCAAAAGCGAAAGTCACTTTTTGAAAGGTTAACATACACTACATAAGCGTACCGGTTCGGGCAATATTCGATCAACAGTCGGGCAATTTTGGCTTTCAATAAAAAAAATGTGACAATTTCTATAAATTGTGTCTAAAATTAAGTTAATTTTTGGCAAATTTTGTGATTTTTCGAAAATTTTGAGTATGTTCCGAAAAATATAGGTTGTACACTGACCGAAATTTTTTTGGCGACGGGGGAGGGGGGGAGGGGGGGGGGAGG